GCGGGGAGGAAGGCGGAGGTCGCGATCTCGGTCACGGTGGCGGAGGAGCGCGTGTGGTGGACCAGGTAGTCTTTTCCTTCGCGGAAGCCGATGTGGCCCAGGACATGGCGGACGACGTCTTGGAAGAAGCCTTTGGCTAGGCCGGTCCCGGAGAGCGTGGAGACGATGACGTGGATGTTGGGGGTGTCGGTGCTTTGGGCGACGGCTTCTTGCTGCAAGTCTAGCAGTTTGGTGTCTATTCTGAAGTCCTCGATAAAGTCGTCTGGCAGTCCAGTCGCCACTAGAGACCTGAAAGTGGGGACTTGCTGGTCGTTCTTCCCGTCAGGCGGTTGGTTGGCGCCTTTGACGTAAAGCAAAGACGAAGCGGATACACCTCCTCTAGGGACAGAGAACAGGCCGATGATGTTGTCTCCGTCGATCTTGACATGGCGCCCGCTCTTCTTGTACCGGTACCTGAGCTGTTTCTGATTCTTGTCGCGATCGTAGGTGAACTCAACCCTCTTCCCGTCCACCTCGCCGGTCCATTGCGAGTCCTTCGACGGCGTCGCGCCCATCGCTCACAGTGGCCGTCGCGCTGTTCGTGAGAAGCGACATGACGGCCTCGAGGATTGATATGCCAGAGCAGGTTGTGAAACGGGACTGAGGGGTTTAGGAAATCACGCATCTTAGTCAGCGTAAAGGTTATGCACCGTCATCCTGGAACATCCAAGCTCCAAGGCTGCCCAGCTGAGAGCAGCTGCATACTCGACACTGCCTCACACCACTACAGCTCCAACTAAAAATACCTACTGCCACTGCTGTAACAAGCTCCCAAAACCAACCTCCATCATAGTAACACTCTCCACCCATCACAATTGAGTCCTCCTCGCACCGCAACAAGTTCGAAATGGCCGAGCCCGAAGGCCCCGAGCAAGACGACCACGACAGACACGACGGCGGCATGTCCGGCTGGGGCCTCGCCATAATCGTGATCCTCATCCTCATCGCTCTCGGTGCCCTCGGCTGGATAATCTACGGCCGCCTACGAGCCCGCCGACTAGGCATCCCTCCACCATCGCTCAACCCGTTCGCCAACCGCTCGACCTCTACCTTCCCCTCGCCTCGTACCGGCGGGGCGTTTGGCTGGCTCAGTGACAAGGTGCGCTCGCTGCGAAACAGCAGATACGCCAGCGGCGCGGGATACGAATCCACGACCAGCGGGACTCGTGGGAGGAGCAGGCTCGATCCAGACGAGGCGTGGGATACGCGCGTGGGCACCGAGGCGGACGTGTACGGGCCGGGCGGATACTACGAGGAGCAGGAGCTGGGGCTGCACCCGGCGGCTGCGACCGATGCGGGCAGGGGGAGGAGTAGGAATCGTGAGCTCGATGAGCGGTATGATGAGGAGACGGGGCGGAAGCCACGGCTGGATCCGTTTGGAGATACGGCGGAGCGGAGCGATATGAGTCTGAGGGGTGTGAGTCCGAGGCCGGTGGATATGGATACGAGCTATCATGGCGGTGGGGGAGGGGGTGGGCATCAGGCGAAGGGAAGCAAAAGCAGTGGGGGCAGCTTGGATAACAGTCCGACGGAGAGGAGGAGTATGTTCACAGAAAATATGTGAGGGGGTGGTTGGTTGTTACTAATGACTTCCTCGTCACTGCCTTGAGCATCATCAGGCACGTGATCATGATTGGATCACAAGGCACATTAGGTGTACATTGGAGCTTTGATGAGCGGCTCAGGAGTATGTTCTTACGAATCCGCAAGCGTGCTATATATATTATTTGATGGTCTGGAAGATGCCACTTCAAGCTGGGCATCGGAACATGCACCCTTCTTCCTCCGTTTCTTCCGCCGCTTGTTATCCGCTTGTGAGAACACATCCTCTTCTACTCCAAGCATACTCAAGATCTTTCTGATCTCAGCTTCCCACTCATCCTTCAATCTTTCCGGCTGGGTCATGGGGAAGAGCTCAGTCAAGCTTGGCAGCGTATTCAGATACTGCTGCAATCTCGTAATGGTCTTGAAGAAATCATTGCCTTGAAAGCGCTCGGAGTGGAGCGTTATGAAGACTTCCATGAGCTGCTGCAGCATCCTCAGTGAGTAGAGCACCGCCTGCAACTGCCCGCATAGATGGACGAACGACCAGCTGCCGCTGGCTCTTTGCCCAGCAATAAGAGACCTCATCTCGGTTCTGGACGGCAGAGGCTTTGCATCGGCTTGCAATGCTTTACAAACCTGGTAGGTGCCAAATTCCCTCGATGTCTCGGGAGCTACCGGCGTCTTAGAAAAATCAATCCACTGCTCCAGGTCCGAGATAAGTGACTCCGCATATGAGCCCGTTCCCTTGATGTTTAGCGTCAAGACACCAGTACTTGAGATTCTAGTACCCCTTCGCTCATGCTCTAACACCCGAGTCTGACTCAACGAGGTAAGGCCCAGCATAGAGTATCCTAGCTGTCTAAAATCTGCACCCACGCGCCAGGCAGACGCTCTTGACGGATCGTCGATCAAGAAAGGTAGATACATATCAAACGTAGCACCGGTGGACAGCTGGCTAAGTTTTAAAGTTGAATCTGGTATGAGCATAGCTCCTGTCCGGTGAACATACTCCGAAATCCTTGGATCAAGTCGCTTCAGCACAGGCGCAAGCCCTTGCCGCTCGAGATCATTCAGCCTTAATTCAAGGGTCGAATGTACAGTGGTTGAGTTGTACTCGGCCGTGAAAATGCGGTACTTCAAGCCGTCCTCGTCTTGCTGTTTGGCTAGCCGGACGCACTCTGCGAAACCTCGATGCGGGTCCTGGCTCACTGCGTAGGCGAACGGGAGTAGAGTTTTCAGGCCGATGGACCTGGCTATGTTCGCTGGGTGGTATTGCATGCCTTGCAATGCTGTGCCTTGAGCGGGCGGTGCTGCATCTCTGAGCTCGAAGTCCTTGAAAAACGTTACGGAACCGTTGGACCCAAGATCGTGCGCGAGAAGGTCAGAGTCGCCGGTAACGATGATGCCCCCTTCTCGTCGGGCAAGATCCGCGCAGTATGCATCGGCTTCTCCAGGCACAACGGTCGTAACGCTGCCAAATTCGCTGTGAAGCAGCGCTTCAATAGCTGCCGGAACCAGAAAGGGGCTGGCGGGCAATGCGCTGAGCCTGGACGGAACAACCACAGGCGAGAAGAGCTCATCTGCTGTAAAGTCCTCTGGTAAAGATTCAGAAACTGCAGCGGGAAGACCCTGGTTGTTTAAAGCTCGGAAGACACTAAGTTGGTCTAGGTAGGACTGAAGGCGTGAGACTCGCGTCTGCTTCTTCGCATCCGGTAACAGGCCGTCAAAAAAGACTGCTCTACTGTATAGCATTAGCTTCAAGTACCTCGAACTTAGAGGATGCTTACATGATGAGCCCATATGATTGAAGCAGCGCTAGCCACTCAACAGCTGCACGCTCAACTTCTCGATATGATGGAGCGGCTTCAAGCGAGTTACGGGCGGTTGACCTTCGAGCTAGTGCCTTGTAGTAGATGTGATAAGCTAGCCCAGGTCCATCAACGATGAGTGATTTGGTATCCTCAGGCCTTGTCGACGAATCGCAGTGAGTAAGTTGAACTCGAGTGGCGTATGATTGCAAGTGGTGAAGAAGGCGTGGAATGCCCATCACGCTAGAGAACGGGGAGACAACTAAGACGAGCAAACTTCTGCCCCTTTGGAAGCTGCACAATCCCCTTGAGTACTTGATAGGGGTCGGCCAGCAACTTCAGTCCTTCGGAAGTGCGGAACCCCCGTGTCTTGTTGTAGACTGATTCCAGACGATCTCAGCGTGATACAGTGATGTTCTTCAGGCCGTAAAAATGTCCAACCTTTGTTGGGTTTGACCACTCAGTGCTCGGGAATCGACAGTAGAATACTGGTCTGATCCAGTAAATGAGTGACTACGAAAGACTTAGTTCTGGAAAATGAATAGGGAATTTCGCCAATGACCTACGAAAACTACATGAAAATGTCCTTTGCACTGACGAAGACAACCTTTCATGACAATGGCATAGAAACTTTGCAAGCAGGCGAAAAGGGCGTCACAAGTCCGTGTGGATGATGCCCCGTTGGACCCAAGGGTGACCCGAAAAGTCTGTTGCCGCATCTCTGCTCAGCCTATCCAACAGCAGATTCACCACTGAACTGGCCTCCTGATCTTCTCAATCATGGAGTAGCTAGACGATCTCACTCGGAAAGTTCGTCCTGATCTTATTAATTATAGAGCAGCTAGATAATCCCACTCAGAAAGTTTGTTGCCGTATCTCTGTTCCAGCTCTCTCGATACCCGATTCACGATCACACTGGCCTCATAATCCTGTTACTCGTAGAGCAGCTCGATAATTCCACATAATAGAGAGCAAAGGTTATTTAGCAGTTTAGCCCTCTAATGTACCAGTCACTTAAGGTGTCTTCACTCTATAGGCTGTGTGCTTAGGCTATCCACCTCCAAGGCCACGAGGCGCTTTCCATGCGGCAACGGACTTTTTGGTTGGCCCTTGACCCTCGAACGGCCGCATCCCTTAGGCGAAGAAGAAGAAGAGACCACACGTACCATGATTGTATTCAATTGTTCTAGTGTATCCCACCGAGTGTTGATGATCCGGTGAAAGATCAGTACCGTTCGACGTTGACCGGCTGTTACCCCTGAACAACTCCGAAAGCCAACATGCACACCTTTAAGCCGTTCAGATCGGACAATCATTTTCCAATGATTGTAGGTCAAGAATTAATGGTTCTCCGGTAACCCAAAATCTGCCGTGTTTAGCGGCTAGTCCCATTCGAGGTAACCTCCACTGTGGCAGCGCAACCTGACTGGCTCAACGTCTGTATACCTTGCTCACGATCGCCGGAAACTTCAGTGAGTCCTCCGGAGGTAAGTTTCTTGTGTTTCATTCTTTCGATCGAGGATGATTGGCAGTCCTTCTGTCTAAAATCTCTAGATAATTGCTGGAGTGATTCATTTACTGTATACTCAATACAATTACTTCTAAACAGGCACCGTGGCCTAATGGTAAGGCGTTGCTTTCCGGTCTTACTGCCTGGCAAAGATTGTGGGTTCGAGTCCCATCGGTGTCGAATCTTTTGTTTTTGAAATTAATCCATCCTTGGAAGCGTCCTTTTGCCAAAAATGCTGTTTTGGCGGGTTTGGGTTGTGGTAGAGCGATTCCGTCGATACTGTCGCTTGCAAAATGTGCGGCCGTTTTCCGATTGAACTTCATCCACCCCCCTCAGTCCCAAAATCATTGCATAAGGTGTTGCACAACGCGCAGCGTTTATATTTTGGTTATAGGCACTCGAATACTTTCGGCACAGGTAAATTCATATAAATAAGTATTTTTATTGAACAAAATGAATAGTTAGGTGGTGGTAATGCCTTAATTATCGCGAAAAGTCGCGCGCGCATTTAAGGATCTAAAAGACGCCAGCTGCACCACGAGAGAAGCATATTTTAACAAATGTAGGCTACGCGATGCCGCTATAAATCATTTTTCTTAGATCAAAACCTTTACGCTGCTATGCTTCAACGTTTAGCAGTTTTTAATTATATATTAAACGCGATCGTATTGTGTGAACTATGATACCAACGTTCGGAGGGGGTTGATTGGTGTTCGCTCTAAACGGCCGCACATCTTGCAAGCGACAGTAGCCGAGGCCTGGAACAACATTACCTCTCCGCACAACATCCGATCCGGTGCTGATACTCTGTTCCGTAGATCTTGAGGCTGGAGAAGTATACTCGTGCTCTCATCAGTCATTTCGGATGGATGTGTTGTTCTGAGATAGTCAATTAAGCTGGGCTCTAGTATATCCTCTTCTGAGAGCTCTTGGATCATATTTCAGACCACCGGTAACCATGAATACATTCCATTCCTCTGCAAGAAGAGGACTCGTAGTCAAAAACTCTTTCCGAAATCCTGTCCCCTCGCGACATCTTCGAGCTTCCCATGCCCGGTCTTTTCAGGGTTTATTATGGCGGGTCAACCAGATTGCTATGCAGGGAAGCTGTGAACTCCATCACTCTACTTCCGCGCGGCAGCGGCAGACCTCGAGCGCCATTGCGTCCAGCGGGGAGCATATCCTAGGGCATGATGTTTTGCACAGCTCTCCGTTCCACATCTTGACTACTCCATCAGAGGACGCAACCTTCGAGCGGCCTGTCATAGACGGCGAAGCAATCCTAGTTTATTCTGATGCTTCCCGGAGTTTCGTTCCTGTGCCGAAAGTCTGGCTCAGGGACCATTGCCAATGTACCACCTGTGTTCATCCGGATACAAAGCAGCGGCTACTCGACACTTTCAGTATCCCGAGAGATCTAGCGGTGAAGTCGTGCGAGCCTGATAGCGCCGGTATACGCGTGACATGGAACGACGGCCACAGGAGCTACTATCCTCTCGAGTGGCTGGCGAAGAGTGGCCGCAGCAACAAGAGCGGGGAGCGGCAAGGCCTGAGCAGTCTTTCATTGTGGGGCAACGGGATAAAAGACAACGAGCCTGAAGTCCAGTATCGAGACATCATGAATTCAGATCAAGGAGTCGGCGAGTGGCTGACCTTGCTCCACCGGTACGGTTTCTGCTACGTTGATGGTACTCCGGCCACGCCTGAGGCCACCGAAGAACTTCTCAAACGAATAGCCTTTATCCGCCACACACATTACGGCGGGTTTTGGGACTTCACCTCCGACCTTGCGTCCAAGGACACGGCTTATACGAGCCTTGGGCTGGAAGCTCACACAGACAACACCTACTTCTCAGATCCGGCCGGACTGCAGATGTTTCACTGTCTTTCTCATACCGATGGCGAAGGCGGTGCTTCCCTTCTTGTAGACGGCTTTCAGGCAGCGGCCGACCTACAGAAAGAAGATCCCGAGGCGTACAATATCCTCAGCACGGTCAACGTCTATACCCACGCGAGCGGCAACGAAGGCATCAGTATCCAGCCTTATCGGTCATTTCCGGTCTTACAGCATGATCCGCTTCATCACCACTTGGTCCAGATAAGATGGAACTCATCGGACAGAGCAGCGATTGACATGCCCTTGGAAGAGGTCCAGACTTGGTACGATGCAGCTGCGTAAGTGCTCACAACCCCGCTACAGAGGCTTAGCGGCGCTCTGACGTTCAGAAGGAAATGGGACAGGCTCCTCAAGCGGCCTCAATACGAGTACTGGAAACAGCTCCAGCCCGGAAGGCCATTGAGTACGTACATAGAGCTATGTGCAGGTTTCTTACTGACCGCGGTAGTCTTCGACAACTGGCGAGTGCTGCACGGCAGGTCAGCTTTTACGGGGAAGCGCCGGCTGTGCGGCGGTTACAGTGAGTGGCGTTAGCCCCCTAATCTTTTCCAGAGAAGCTGATCTGTTTATCTCCATAGTCAACCGCGACGATTACATTTCTCGCTTCAAGATGCTCAAATGGGGCAGAGTTGCTGGCCTGAACTGAAGGTTGGAGAAAATCCAGAAATATGCTTGGAGGCGTGGTCGGATGTACTGATAGAGGCCATCATACCCAGGAGGGACGTTTGCGTTTAGCATAGGTGAGGACCAGGCGCACGCAGGTCGCGAGTTCAACCTCGTCGAACCAGCTATTAATCATGATCGATAAAAAGCAGGCGGAGAACTCTGAGCGCATGAGCCGAATGCCTCGGATGCTTGCAGCGAGCCTTGAAAGATCTTCGAAGTGGAAGTCAAGGACACCGCGAGTCCATTGCTTTCAGACTCTTGGTCTTAGTCTACGAAACAACGGTTATAGTCCTTTCCCCACGGCTGGAAAGGGCCCACGCCTTCAGGTCGTTCGATATCTGTGGGCAAATGATCTGTCTATACGATTATGGCCGGAAGCTTGCCCGCTGATGCACCAGCCTTCCTTTTACCCAGACAGCAGCTGTGTTCCTATCATCGCCATTGTATACCCACTTAGCAACCCTCTCGTCCCAGCTTTCCCATCCCCAGACGTCCACAGGGTCTTTGTGGATCTCGTCGCCAGTTAATCCATCTTCTGCAACGCTTCCCAAGCTAATCATCTGAGCATCCCAATCCATCCCCACGTCGAAACCTCCAACCTTCTGAGCAAGCCCGACAACCTTTGCGCCGCCCCTCGTAGCAAGATACAGGGCTTCCTCCATTGACAGCTTCGCCTGATCTCCATCGGACATGGCAACATGCCGACTGACCCAAACAGCCTGCCGCACCATCTCCAGTATGCTCGGGCTGAAGCCACCACTGACATCCGTACCCAAGCCGACCGTGAGACCCTGATCAATCAACTGTCGTACCCTTGCAGACCCAGACGTCAAAGCCGTATTGCTAGCCGGACAATGACTGATCTTCGCCTCCCGCTCCTTGATCAACGCCTTCTCCTCCTCGGTCAAATGCACCGCATGCGCCAGGATCGTCTTCTCCGTCAGCAGGCCCGCGCTATCATACACATCCGCATACGACTTGCTCTCCGGAAACAGCTCCTTCACAAGCTCAATCTCGTTCTTGTTCTCCGAGATATGCGTCTGACACGGAATCCCCGTCTCCTGATGCAGCTTCCCCTGCTCCCTCAAACACTCCCTCGTGCAGCTCGGCGCAAATCTCGGCGTGATAATCGGTGAAACAATCTCAAACCCCGGATCAATGCCCCTCACATGCTCGATGCACTCCCTCGTGCTCCGCATGGCGGCCTCAGTGCTCTCGTCGCGGTAGTACTCCGGGCTCATGGCGTTCATGCATACGCGGCCGACGAAGGCGCGCTGACCTTTGGCGAGGCAAATGTCAGCGAGAAGGTTGGTGGCCGGCACGTGGATGGTGGCGTAATAGGCTGCGGTGGTGGTGCCTTGCGAGAGGGTGCGGGCCACGACGCGGTTGTATACGCGGCGTGCTTTGGAGAGGTCGGAGAGGCTGGATTCGAGCGGGAAGGTGTAGGTGTTTAGCCAGTCGAGGAGGGTCGATTTGCCGAAGATGCCCGTGTTGGGATATTGGGAGGCGTGGATGTGGGTGTCTGGGGTGGTGAGAAATGGGTGTCAGGACAGACAAAACACAGACGCGGCTGCTGTTGTTAAGATCTATCTTCTGTAACTCGCATGACAGGGCTTGAGTAAGGCGATGACTGGGTTTGAATTGATTTTGAGAATACTGCTCTTCTGTTTTTGAAACTCCGACATCGCGAAAGTCGCGGAAATGTCTGACTTTGGGAATGACAGATGCTGTGATTCTAACTCATCGAAAAGGTATTGCACCCACCTATGAAGCCAGGAAAGAAAAACCCATTATCTTTTGTCCTCACAATCTGCGAGTTCTGCCACCCATGCTTCTGCGTGACCGGTATCACATCCCCAATATCCTTAACATCTCTTTCTACAAAAGCTATTTTGCCAGTCTCGTCTACACCGATAGCACCAGTTGGACAGATATCAAGCTTCTGCAAAGATTGGCTGTGCACAAACGGCCCAACATAGACTGTCCGCTTGATCTTTTGAGCGGCAGCCATTGTCTACAGGGGAGCCCAACCGAGGATTGCGAAGTCTATAGAAGGGAGAGGCTCCAAGGGAAGTGCAAAAGGAAAAGGTGTGGATGGGTTGTTGGTGTTAGCCATCTTTATCTGCTTGTTGGCGCCGTAGGGCTGAAGCGGAATAGAGGTCAATAGCGCGGCTTTGATTGGCGGAATGTCAGATTCGAGTCGGCGGTCCGCGGCGTGCTCCGGAGATATTCCTGACCCCCAGGCAAGGTTGCAGAAGTCGTGGGACACTCTTGGCGCGTCGCCTCACCAAAAAGTGTCCCACGGCTTTTGCAACGTTGCCTGCCCCTGCACGTGGTGTTGACTTCCATTATCAACTGTCAAATAGTCAATGATTCGGACTGATTATTACACAAATCGTGCAGTGAAGGGACATATATGAGTTGCAGATATTTGTGAAGTGACGCACTCAAATTGCGCTCAGTACGAAATACATGGTATCGATGGACCCCAAACACCCCAAATGCGCGACCCAAGCCGTTCCAAGGCCTTCCAAACTCCAACCCCGCAACGCAGCAGCTCATAGACTAAAGTCATGTATACCCGATGGACCCTGCTCGTTGTAATCGCTTCTAGTCA